CTGCTTAGCAATACAATGTATTTTGAGCCATGCGGTCAGTGAATTTGTGCATGCGAAAAGGCGCTTAGCCTCTACACCCGGTGAGGTTCGAACTCACGCAGCTTTCGCTATGGGAAAGCCCATTCTCAAAGCTTGAGACCCACCCGTTAGACCACTCCGGCACAGGTGCAATCCGAGATCTGCTCGGAAAGCCGAGGATGCCCGCGCCCGCACATCACCTGCACATATCTGTCAACCTGCACACGTGCCGTTGTACAACCTTCATCCGAACGTATACGTGTGCTCCTGTGTCCGTGGCCGAAAGCTGAAACGGCGGGTGTAATGGGCCCGAGTGTGTGCCTGGATCTCTAGGACACATAGACAGCACTAGATCCCGCTTTGCCATGGCCCATCCCGTCCCACCGCTGCTACACTTCTACTGATGGGCTGCTTGGTGTTCTGAACACTCAACACACTGCTTCACCGCGCACCATCAGTCCTCTGGCTGTGTGGCACACGTCCCTCCTGCCAACATGCAAGCTCGGCTCACTACACCCTGCACCGCCTGCAAGTGCTCAACACTGCAATACCTACCGTCGTGCGGCTCCTATTAGTGCCCACCAGGCCCAGCCGCGTACTTGGTCAGCGCTGTGCGGGGCTAGCACGGCTTCCCTCTCCAGCTCGCGGCGGGGAGGAGGCATCTGTGGTTGACAAATATCGGATGAACACAACCCGGTGAATGAACCGGGCTCTGACGCAAACTGGACAATCCGCCGGTGAGCTGTGCAGGGCGGCTAGCTCGGTAGGTTGGTGATGTCCATCTTGCATGACCCGGACGTGTTTGATACCTGTGGCAGTATGGCTTATGCCTTGCATGTGAGTGTTAGCCTGGCGGCCGGTGAACTCACCAACCTGGTTTTCGTTGATGATGTGTCACTGGTGGCGACTGGGCACTATAGAGCTGAATGCCTTCTGGGGCTCCTCGAAGCCTACTGCAAAGCGACGGGAATGGCCGCAAAGCCGCCAAGTGTGAAGTCCTCATTTTCGGGGGCACTACACGTGAGCGGAAGCGGCTAATGGAAGCTGAGTACCGGGTAGCCG